AGATCGCCAGATAGAATCCGAAGATTTCATTCATAACTTTGTTTTCATTACTATCGCTGTTATCTTTATCGGAGTGTCGGAGTTTTCGGTTGTTTGTATTACTTTACAATTCGATTGTTATCTGGTGATCTGGATAACCAGCTCCGTACGCCCGAGTCAGTTTCGTTTTATTTTATTTCTATTTATATGTATTGCAAATTCCGGTGTTTTGCCGTTTCTCCCTTCGAGGAAAGGTAAACAAACACACATACGTTTACAACTGGTTATTTTCCATGCTCTTCATTCATATTCCAGGATAGTTAATTGGTCTCTGATGCATGAAAAAGATTTCAGCCATTCAAGATGATCAAATCTTCATTTCTAAATTCATATTACGTGGATTTTGGAATGTTCTACAATGGGAAAGTTTCAAAGGAAAAAAAAAAAAAAAAAAAAAAAAAATACGTTCAAAAACAGATTTGGCAACAAGATGAAAATAGATTACGCATCCGAGTCATACCAATTCGGGTTATTTTTATTTATCGACTCATTAGGATACCTTGTTTGCAACAATTTGTTAGGAGACCGAAAACATTGAATGTGCCATTGAACAAAAATTGCATAATTTAAATTGAAAATTATAGATTTGGCGAACCACCTCTAGATTTCAATGGATGCAATCTAGATTTGGCTAAAAAAAATTTTTTTTTTTTTTTTTTTTCTTTAACAATGTTATCTTTGAGACTTTATGTAGCATTTGATTAACTGGGTACATTTGATTCCCCGTCTTATTCATCACCGTTGCTTATTCTTGGAAAAAAAACGAACCTTGGTGTATTCTGTGATTATCATCATTTTATCACCTGGAGCAAAGTAGGGATAGGTCTTTTCCAATCACTTTTTTCACTCCAGAACCTAAAAAAAAACTCGACTCTTGACGATCATGAGTCGATGTGCTAAATACTGTATATTTACTAAATTTTCAAGGAGCTATCTTATTGTTGTTAAAGATTATTAAATAATTCAATATTTTTCAGGCATGTTTATGTGTGATACAACATTAATGCCATTAATAATGATGATGATACTAGTAACAATTTATAATTAATTAAAATTATTATTATTATTATTATTTTCTTATTTATGCTGACGAAATTCCGACATGCAACAACCTTCCAGAGTTCATCTGCGAAAATTATAAATTGGTTATTCATCAAGTCATAATCGTGATACTACATCAATTTTCAGTCTTTCAGCATTTCATCGCGGTAAAGGGAAATAAGCTAAAAATGAATAGACTTCCTCTTTTAACGAACAAACTTGATCGACGTGTAAAACAGAGAACCTATTCAGTAAAGTAACTGGGATCACCAATGCCTGAATGAAGATGCTTTTGTACGCCATCATGATGAGGTTACGCAAGTGGTCACCATTTAAATTAGGTGCTTTCAAATAGCATTCATTTTAAATTTATTAATTTATTATTTGCTTTCCGTTCGGCGGCGACTGTAAATCTGACGGTTGATTGATGGGATGCGGCGAGATGGTCATGCGGGAGAACAGTACGCATCGAGAATTGGGACATCTTTGACGGCCGAGGCGACCTTGTCCCCTCCCATGTACGCACGCCGCAATATATTGATGGGAAGAGAGGATAATAATGGTAAAAAAAAAAAAAAAAAAAAAACAAGGGAATAAATAAATAAATAAATAAATAATGGCGTTGATTTGATTTTAAGAGCTTGTTGTTCTTTAAAAAAATTTCGGCATGAGATCGACAAATAATTTGCATGTCCCCTGTTGTACTCTGGATGTAAGTATCGCATGATTCTGTAATCTATGACTCGCATAATCTTCAAGTAATTTTTTGCTACCATGTGCAGAATAGAAAAAAAAAACGACCACCTTCAATTCTCTATTACTGTAAAATTACGCGTGCCCAATGAGGGCCAACGAAAACATTTGATGCCTATGATAGCCACGAGTAATAATCCCCTCGTCCACTTCCAACACTTGTTGCCATCTCCAATTTATCCTTAACACATCACTGCTATCCAAGCGTATGCTAACAATCGGAATGGGCAGGAATCCGCTGCAGTGCGACTTCGGCAAATTTCATGTAAAATAGTGTGCAGTATGGGAGGAGATTTAACGCGTGTGTGGTAAATAAAGAAGTTGAATGAAACAAAAATTAAAGAGTACGGACGGAAATCGTGTTAAAGTAAAACCGAATCGCCATGCCAGCTCAGTCATATTCTCTCTCTTCTTTTTTTCGAAAATCTGTTTGTTTCCCCTTTGTTGCGTTTAAAAAGTACACAGGAAGTGTAACAAGCAGGTTGGTGAACACAACCCCTGAGATTAGTTATTTGCCACTCAAGATTATTGAGTATACCTTGCATGCATAGATAAAACAAATATATGATTAAAGTTGTTGGGAAATAATAATTACTCAACATCAAAACAACAGGAAAATAATAATTAATCAACATTAAACAGATACCAAGGAAATCAGCCCATCCACCACATGATTGATGTCATGGATACGACCCTCCCGCCCACGGCAAATTTTGTGGAAACGTGGTATCTTCCTGCGGACAGGATCACGCGGGTGAGTGCATATATGAAAAAAAAAAAAGTGTTACGAAGTGGGATGGCGTGTGTGACGGATGTAATATTAAAGTTTTATTGATGTTATTCGATTCATCACCAATCGCTCTTTCATATTTGGTGTACTTTGTGTGCGCTTATATGTCTGTGTGCGTATGCGTGTGTGCGCCTTCAACTTGCGCTCGATAGCGGTCGGAAAAAAGGTGCACTGACATCGAGGTCGTCGGTCAATTTTCGTATGAGGTCACTTTTTTGAAGGTTGACTTAATTCACAGGCTCATTGTCATATTACGTAGACATGCGCGATCGCACGCGTGAATATTGTGTCTTCCTCTCGGCGACGCTTTTCCTAATCCTGCCGTCGCACTAGCGGTGACATCTTGAGAAGGTAGGCGGTATTATGTGATATCGAAGGTATTTTTTTTGTCCTCATGATTATCAAAATTTAGATCGGTTTTCCCCGATTTTAGTTAGCCCAGAATGAAATGTGACTGCACATGTGATTCCCAGAGAGAGACAGAAATCACACTTCCAACCAACGCATTTTTATATTTCGGCAGCGCAACCCTTGATCACTGTGATCCCAATTACATTCGGCTAAGAATCTCCGTTGGTGCTAAGCACTCGGCTGCCACATTCACTGCCACCCGCCATCTCACCAAATTCAAATATTTACATGAAATATATAATCGATTATTAGATATGTTCAGCAAACCTTTGAAACGATATTGTTGATTAATTTAAATCGGACTTTAAAAAAAATGGACATCACAAAAAAAAAAGTGGCACAAATGATTTTCTTTGCATGTACAGCCAAAGAAACTCAATCTAAAATAATATCTAAAAATCAAATTATTCGATCTCACAGGATCGCAATGTTGATCCTGATTGGTATGTCTCACATTATTTTAATATCACACACAATATGCAGCGATGTTCTACTCTATCATTCATCCCCCATTATAGTTTATCAGTAGTTTAAAAAAAAAAAAAAAAATTTTTTTTTTTTCTTTATCACCATTCAATATTACCGGCATTATATCAATAATAGGCATCTTGTTTAATGAGATTAATACGTGTGTACACACCAAAGGGTTATATTCGAGTAGACCAAATTTTCGTACTCGAGTGTGTCCGTACATATCGATAGCCAAAAGTTTCCAGGATTGCGTGTATTTTCAGGCATGCCCGATTGATTTTTTATGTCATAAGCCGGCTATAACAAATATGTATTAACCTTTCATTTGATCCGTGATATATATAATATATACGTATGTTATACATTAGATTTCTTTTGTGCACAAGTTTCGTAACACACATGGTTCATTTACACTATTTAATCTCCGATTCAAATATGTCACTATAAATACTCTTCCAATTCACTCTCCAGTCATTACAATTCCTTTGACAAAGCACTAGACTTTTTCCTTCCTCATTTTTGCTCTTTTTCTTTCTCAGAGGGTAAAACCTGAGGAGTTTCCAATAGACTCATGGTATATGAACCACCACGAAATTCGTAGAGTTTTATTTATTCCAAGCATTTTTCTTTTTTTTTCTTTTTTTTTTTTTTTATTATCATTACCATTACCATTATTACTCTTCCTCTTTAATGAGGCAACCGTTCTTGTGACGTGTTTCTCTGATTTTTCAAGTTTAGATTGATCGTATACCAAAGGCCAAAGGTCAATTTCCCTTTCTTTCCATTCTCAAAAGGGAGAGAGAGAGAAAAAAATTATATATATATAATTATACATATATACGCATATACTCGAAGAATTTACCGATATCATAGAGTCCGGCGAGGGTAAGTTTTTTTGAGACATGAAGCTTTAACGAGGCAATCGACGAAAGACTAATTTAACTGTTCGATACATGTCTCAGGCGTATAAAATGAACATTTCCTCCATATGTCTACCTCCCCTTGACAGGAGTACGGGATTTTCCCCATATTTCCCGAATACTAGTTTACCATCGCCTCCGTGAGTTCTTTGATTCATTTTGCGAGGTGCAAAGTTCGACGACGTTGATCATGAAAATAAAAGTGATAAATAATAAATAAACTTATTGCTCCTTTCGAATGTTAGGACTTTGGGTAATAAGGGAATACCCCTTCCGCCACTGACCTCGATCTTACAGTCACCGGAGGTCCAAGGTGCCCCTTCCACGGAAATTCCGAAGCCGAAAAGTCACTTTACATCTCAGAATCAACGTTATCCGGATTATTGCGGACAGTTGACGGCGCCCTGCAGTCCTGACGGTTCGAAGTTGACCTACCAAGAAACAAGCAAAGGTATTATCGTTGAAAATAGGTTGCAACAGCCTCGTCTGTTGACCCAACCGGTGGACAAAGAGCTATCTTCCCGACAACAACAATCACCGCCACCACCACCACTACCGCCATCCTCTTCATCAATATGGCCAAGGTCAAGTTCAGTGGATCAAGCGTCCATGAATCAGCTGCAACAACAACAGCACAAGCAATCGCCACAGCAAAAACCCCCAATTTATCACCTCGACAATTCCGGGCCACCCCCGCAACCTCCGTCACAAGCGATGAGATTTGTGCACAACTTTCCGCAGTACGGAGCAAACGCTTTTTCCACGAAGGAACAAGCAGTCGCAAAACTTACAAAGGTACCTACCTGTCCATCTCCGCCTCACATAGCGTGGGTTGCGATGTCATTCATAACAATCATCATCTCATCCCTTCCATCATCGAACTCAGGTCGTCGACTGCTGCAACCAAATAGTACAATTCACCACCCAATACAAGGATTCACGCGTGAACCCCAGTTCATGGGATAATGCACCTCAGGTAAACGAGACACACCTCACGCACATGATCAACAGAACGTACGAAGTGTTGGATGTTCTGTTTGGCATAAGGAACGAAATCTCATCAAGAACTGCAGAGGTATGCGATAATAATCAATCGACCGACCAACTATGTTGGACGCCTCCGATGTGGTGCTAACTTCGATTCTTGAATTTCCAGAATGCTCCGGTCGACGTTGGCGAAATCATCTTATCTCGAAAGCCAAGAGCAATAAACGTCTCTCAACCCCGTACGAAGTACAGGAAACGAAACGTAAGTCACAGTTTCATTATTATCACGCGTGCATGTGACGCACACGAAAACTCGATTAATGAACAAGATTTTTTTTTTTTTTTCAAATTTCTGTTAGAAGCGTGCGGCACCTCCAGGCAGATGCCATTCGTGTAATATATCCGAAACGCCGGAATGGCGCCGCGGTCCGGATGGCGCCAGAACGCTTTGTAATGCATGCGGTCTTCGTATGTATTCTATTCTTGCTTAATATGGCGGGCGTACTGTGTGTGACTCACCGTGTTCATTTCTTCCGCTCTGACATAGATTTTGCAAAGATCACGAGAAAACGTGCTCTTTCGGCAATGCAGCAGTTTGGACCTCATTCGGTGGCCAACACGACAATGATTTATAATAATACTACGAAATTGATTACAATGCCGACACCACAAGATCAAAGCAAATGGCCGCAAGCCGATTTGCCCGAAAACGAATCATTTTCCAAGAATAAATGATCCGGAATTTTTTTTCGGGACTTCTTAAGATGATGGTCGGCCGAAATTCCTTCTTTCTTTTTACGCATGAAAGGGTTTACAACAATAGACCTTTTCATTTTTTCCTATGCATAATGGCAAACTACCACAATTTGCTTAGTATTATATGGTTATCTTCCTCTCCATAAAAAAAATTTTTTTTTTTTTTTTTTTCTTTTTTTTTCCCAAGATTACCACGACTTCATGCAACAACACCAAAAAGAATCGATATGTTATGGCAAACATTGAAATATTATTACAAAATGGATTTTTATAATAAGCTTTTAAAATTGATGTATATGAGGTAAAAAAAAAAAAAAAACCCCCCATTTTTTTAATACACATTGGCGAATGAAAGCGAGGGGAATGGTGGCAATTGAGACCGTAAGGATTATAAATTAAAGAAATAAACATTGTCTATCAGTATCTTTTTTTTTTTTTTTCAATTTGAACCCGAAATCACATTCGTGGGGTATAATCCAATAAACAGCATCTCCCCATAAAAAAGATTGTTGTCGCACAACGGTTTTTTGTGTCGCCTTGTGACAAAGATATCACCGACAATGCATAAAAAAGGTTCACTTGATAGACTTGTGTCCCTTCACTAGCTTTAGCAAGGAAAGGTCAGGTATAAAAACATGGGATTTTTTTTTTTTTAGAAAATTACGGGTTATCTTTTTCCGTTCCTCCTAAGTTTAACAACTTCAAGGAAAACAGGTTAATTCTTGAGAAATCCACCATAAACTGGGCAACCTGTTAAGCGTACTCAACAATAGTAGAAATCTCGCACATACTGTATGTTTGACGAAAATTGGACTGTGAAGAAAAAAAAATGTTGTGTCACGTGACATGGATCTTTTTTCAGAAAGTTCGATAGTGTTCAAAAATAAAATTATATACAGTATATATACAGTATATATTTTTAACTGCCGTCAGCTGACAAGGTTACTATATGTGCAGTATATTTTATGTTACTAAAGTTTCTATTTTATTCAATATACTCGTCAGTATTAACTAACTTTAGGTACAACATTGGAAATTATTTTTTGCTTCCTTAGTAGATATCATAACTAGCGGTTCATTATTGCTAAAATAAAATTTTATATAATATGAAATTTATGCAATTATAAATAGTTCCAATTGCTACTCAAAAGAAGTTCAAGTAAACATTAATAAAAAGATTAAATAAAAATAAACACGCAAAATTTCTGAAAATCCAAAGAAACGATTAAAAAATAACAATAGAATAAAAGAAAAGGTTCTAAGTAAGATATTCTTAATTATTAAAATATTTAAAAAAATGAATAGATAACAGACTTTCCATATTATAAATTGAGTACTTATGTCAAAAATAAAATTTAAAATACAATATAATATAAATATACTATTATAAAAAATTTATAATATGTTTACTTCAATATATAGAAAAATTCTTTAAATATAAAATTATCTTATGTAAATTCATTTCTAATAATATAATTTACTATTCAAAAATCTATATTTTTAAAAGTATACAGATATTATAAAAAAAAAGTTAAATAATAGAACTTTTATAATAAATTGAATAATCAAGGTCCAACAGATATAACAATAATTATTAAACAAAAATAAGCTTAAATTAAATATTAGAACTATTTAATTTTCTTTTATACAAATGATTTGATTATTTTATTAACAAAAAGAATTTAAATTAATTATACTAAAGTTATTCAAAAATTTAAAATTGATTTTTTTGCAATTAAGAATAGTATAAAATATTTAAATAAATTAAATTTAACTATTTAATTTAAGAATATTAAATATCAAAAAAGACCTTGGTCTTAAACTTTGCCTGACTGAAATGATAAGAGAGAAAGACCTTAGCTTGAACAAATAGTAGCTTTTTCATTACCTGGGGACTTGTTGCTTGTATTTTATTGATCTCATGGTACTTGATTTGTAGATTAACCCAATTGAAGGAGTGGAATGGACACGGGGCACCAACCAACTCTTTTTATCACCAATGACATCATTGGAATATGTGAGGTGATCAATAGATGCTTGTTTACATTTAGTTACTAGCATATTTCGTGTCCACCAATCAAAAGCCTGGTGATTTTGTGCTACCAGAAATTCAGGATCAAACTGAGGTAGGCAAAATCTCTTAAAAAAAAATTAGAAAAAACAACAAACACTTTAAGAGGCTAGAAAAGCTTGTGAAGGTGAATAATAAGCCTTTCCTTGTTGATAAAACCTCTATTTCTGTTACTTTAGCTCTATAAGATAATACTCCACTTGTCAGTTCTTTTACTTTCTAGAAACTTCTTGCCCTTAGTAGAAGTACATACTTAGGTCTTTTCAGGTTACTAGAGATCCAAGTTTTTATTCATAGAAGTTTATAAACAAGTAGAGGAGAGTAAGAAAGATACATGAAGACAAGCTTCAAGTTGTTTTAATAAAAGTATAATTTAAGATTTGTTTTATTAATCTAGAAACTCATTTTTTAAGTTTTTCTAATTCTTATTAATTATTTTAATCAGTCTATTGTTTTTTTTCTTGATTTCTTTTTTTTTTTTTGTAAAAGTTTTTTTAAGTCTTTGAGAATTCCATTTATTTTTTTGTTTTATGCTTCTTGTACTTAATATTTATAGACTAAATATTCTAATAAGTGTTTTATTATTTTATATTATTAATTATATACAATAAATTTCATTTGTTTTTAAAAGTCAAGTTTTTTTGTAACCAGTTTATTTAAAGATGACAATTTATTATTGATTGGTTTAATGAGAAAACTTTTACGTTAAGATTGTTTAAAAGATGTGTTTCATGTATATCCATTTTTTATTTTTTTATATATTAGATTCCACAAGTAAACTTATTGCTTTAAATTTAATGATTCTATTTTTTTTCTATTTTATTTTATTGTGTTTACTAATAGATCATTATTTTGTAATTATTATTCTTAATGAATTGTCTGATTAAATCATTTAAGGTTATATCTTATTATTTTATTTTTGTAATAATCTTGTATAAAATGTGATTTTTCTATTTTATTAATAGAAGTTTTAAGATTTCTTTGACAAAAGTATTTACTTCTTTATTGTAAAGATTATTAGAATATGCAATGACTTTGATAAGTTATAAGTTCAAATTCTTTTTCTATATTATTTTTAACCATTTATATCTACAGAAGTCAAAAAAATTTTTTCTAACTATCTTTTATATATTCTCTTTGGATTTCTTTTTTGTCTTTTATTTAGAAATACAAATTTAATTGTCTATACAAATTTTAATAATATTATTAATAAAAACTATTAGGAGTATAGTCATAATCATTATTAATTCAGCTTTTGTAGATAAAAACCAATTGTTTATTTCTGTTTAAAACTTGCTTTTTTTTTTTTACTTTTTTCTATCTGGATCCAAGCTATATCTATTTTTATTTCTTTTTTTTTATAATTGATAAACAATTCATTTAAGTAGAAGATTAACTTTTTTTTGAATCTGAGATTGTATTGAAATATTTCTATTAGATAATTTTAATATACTTCTATAATATTTTTCTTAATAATAGTTTTTTTTTCAAGTTTTAAAATCTATATGATTTACTTTATTATTTTGAAAAGAGATCTTAAAAAAACTTTAATTATTGTAAATCATTTTTTTAATTATATTATCTTGAATTTAAAATAGTTACTTTTTATATTCCTTTGATAAACTTTCTTTTATTTTAGTATAATACAGTATATAGTTTCTTTGTACTTTCTTTTATAATTTAGTTATTGTCTTGTATTATTTCTTTTAAATATTTTAAATAGTTTTGTAAATCAATTTTCTAATTATTATTAGTATTATCATAAATGAAATATTTTATTATTGCCTAATGTTCTACTTTTTTTTTATGTTAACTTTTTTCAAGTTATTTAATTCTTATTGTTTTTCAATATAATTTATAGTTTTTGTTTTGTTTTTTTTTTTTTATCGCAAATGAGCAATATATGCAAGTTTTTATTAAAAAATTAATTCATAAACAGTTACATTAATAGTCTTTACAAAGTTGTGATGCCTAAATAAATTAACTAAAGTCTATTATAATTGTTCTATTGTAACACACTTGCAGTCTGTGATTGGATATGCCAGAGTAGGATCAAATGGCAATTACTTATTCAAAAATGATGCTATTACTGTTGAAGATAAGATAGAGTAACTAGTAGAGTTTGAGAGTCTATTTAAAGCTGTTAAAATAGTTTATGGGATTGGTTCAATGATTGATTGTCAGGTGGTGATTTGGTTGCTTTCATGGGTTTCCATTTGATGCCAGTGAGTGATGCTGTAGTGGCAGTAGCGGATCCTTCTTTCTAAATTCTATATAAGATTTTTAGAGTCTTGTTCATGATTTTAACCTTTGCTTTGTTACTTTAAATTTGTTCAAGGATCTGATTGGGTATTTCTAAAGAAGTATTTAAAAGTGTTCTACTATTTGCTGGTGTGATAGTTATGTAGTGGATATTTGCCTGTGTAGATTGATTTTTTCTCTGGCTTTGTTTTTGTAAGATTTTTTTAAGAAGGTTGTTAAATTTGGGAAGTTTTTTGTTAAGTAATTCTCTATTCTCTATACAGTTGAAAATGTGTTCTCGGTTTTCAATTGTGTGATCATATCGGGGACATTTAGATAATGGGTAGAGTGAGGAATATCTTCTATAAAGTTTGGCTCTAGTAGGAAGGCTATTGAAGAGAACTTTGGTTTTGAATGCAGATAGCGACCAGAACTGGTATTTGTCAGTATGTCAACACTTTTTATTTGCTTTTTTGAATAGGATGAAGTCTTGGATATTGGTGGATTTGAAGAAACAGTTTTGACTAGTGATGATAACGATGAGATTAATTGATGAGTTAACAAACTTAATCTACTGAGTGCAGCTGGTTTCAACTTGATTATCGATGAGTGGTGATGTGTTATAGTTGTTTATTGAAAGTGTAGGTAACTCTTTAGTAGTTTGATT